TTTTATGTGAAGCAGAATTCAACTAAAACTCACAAATCTTTGTGTGGACAACTTTTTTCATACACGTTACAATTACTTTGGGGAAAAAGCTGATTTACTGAACTCACGGAGGAGAAATAAACTTCTGTTTTAGAGAGAGAGAGAAGCTCATATAAAGCTTACACTACACTTACCAGCTAAAATCTTTAATGAAATGCATGTTGATGCAACAGTTCCTATTTTTCAGGTTTGGGACTGAAGTGTTTTTTTATACTTAGACTGCAATTTTAAGTGTAACAAATTTTTTATGTCATTTTCACCACATCAATGGACCTTTTTCATAGCCGCTATTCTGAAATGTGTTTGTAGGTTAATTATGGCCTTGTCCCTAGTAATGCATGCTGTCTCACTGGAATGAGTGTGGCGTAATAAAGGAAATGTTCCCATAATACCTTTAACCAATTAAACATCTATTTACACTTCTACGACATGTCAAAATGACTGCTGTGAAAAGAGGCCTAGGGCATAACTCCATGTGGGCTTAGAAATACAACTATTATAACGTAAAGCTCAACCATACTCACACTCATCCACATCCTGATCTGAGTCATCAGCTTGTATGTTTCTAAGACCACTGGAGGGCACACTCTGCCGCGGCTGCTCCTCTTTATGACTTTCTTCTTCGACCTCTGTGACATTCAAGTCCAGTGACTGAAGAGGACTGGTGTCAGGTGAGGAGAGTGGGGTCACATCTGTCACTGAATCATCTGAGTCTGCCGTATGGAGAACAGGAAAATCACGAGGCCTTGCTGAGCCTATTCTGGTCCTTCTTATTCCTGGACATGAAGAAGAAGTTGCACTTGTTTTCGGGAGGGCAGGGGACTCTAAGCTGCTCTGGTGACTGCTACTGCTATAGGAGCCCTCAGAGTCTGCATCTGTGCTGGTCTCAGTCGATGAAAGAGAAGGACTCTCAGACCTGCTTAGAGGAGCTGAAGGACTTTGGTTGTGCAAATTTCTTATTACTTTTTTAGGAGATTGTTTATTTCTCCTTTTAGAGCTGGCACTGAATGGTAATGCTTCTCCTTTGGTCTCTTTTGGACTCTGAATGTAAACATCTGTATTATCTACCTCTTTGGCTTCAGCCAGTAAAGCCATGAATGTTCTACTGGACCTTTTAGGTTCTAAATTGGCGCAATCTTCACTATCACTGCTTTCATTGCTGATTTTATCCGATGTAGTGGAAACGGATGATCTACTGCTCCTATTATAGGTCTCCGCTTGCTTTAGATGTTTTCTTGTCTGATCACTCCTTGATGACAGATCGCCACGATAATTCTCTCTGTGTTTTGCATGTAACTTATCATGTGCTTTTGAGATCTTCTTCTCAGCCTTCAAACCTTTCTCCACCTTATGTTCTGCATCTGTGCTGCTTTCAGCACAATCGCTGTCGAAAAACGAGTGATCCACTTCACCTTCCAGTTCACTGGGGTTGAACATGGCAATTTCCCCTCTGCACACCTGTAAGGATGTAATGTGAGATACCTAAATAGTAATTTTTTAACCCATTTATTTAACATAACAGCTAACAACTTAGCAAAACCTGCTAGAGTGACTGCTTTCAAAGACTGAAATGATTGGCCAGGTGTCCCTTTTTATGTTGGGTTGCACAGCATTTTTATCCTTTGTCCACTGTCCCACATATTGAGACAATGTTCCACATTTTATGTGGTTCTAGCTTACAAACATCCTCACAAGAAACGTGGTTTAAACAGACATGTGCAAACAAGGATCCATACTGAAATACAAAATAAAGGTTAAGAATTTTAAAGGTTTTTTGCAATATAAAACAGGTAACACTGCATAAATCCATGAAAACAAGAACAAGAACAATAGGACAGTCCAGTGAACTCAGTGAAAACACACGATGGAGAAATGTTGATATGCACAAGTTACAGAACTTGAATGCATTTCTAAAGAACTGAAGATCATCACTTCAAACTGCTGTATGATCATCAAGTGAAAGGAAATTGTGTGAGGATGTTCATTATCAACCCAGGAAACAGCAAGGCTCGAGCCTGCCATGAACTGGAAACTGTTCGATCACCAGTGCCACTGTCTACAGTGAAGAGAGTTTTACATGACCATGTACCAAATTTCCCCTTTTGGGACAATTAAAGGATTATTAGAGGGCACCAATGAAAAAAGACGCCCCTTTTACAACATCGAAACCTTCAAGTTCAACTATTATTTGCAGCTGCCCACAGGAATAAAATAAATGCCTTCTGGAGAAGAATTTTATGGTCAGATGAGACCAACACTGAGCTAGCTGGCTACAATGACAAGAGGAATGTTTGGTAGCATGAAGGTGAGGCTTTCAAACTGTAGTATCTGTCGAGTACTGTGGTGTTAGCATGATGCTCCGAGGCTGTTGTGCTGCCAGTAGTACTGCCACACTACACAAAGTGGATGGAATACTAAAGACAGAGGACTACCTCCAAATTCTTCAACTTCACCTCAAATCAGCAGCTAGAGGGTTCAAACTTGAACCATCTTGTTCCAGCAAGCTGAGCACACACTGGCTTGGATGAAGCAGGCTAACACTAAGCTTCATGAATGGCCTTCCAATTCAAAATTTGTGGACCATGCTTAAAAGCTGTGGTCTGATAAAGGAAACCAACCGGTTTGAATGAACTCTACTAACTCTGCCAAGAAGAGTGGTCAAATACACACCCAGAATTATGCCAGAAAGTTGCTGATGACTACCAAAGATGTGTGCTCCAGGCGCAACTTGCTAAGGGACAATTAACCAAATATTAGTAGGGGTGCATGTATACACTTGAGACTACATGTATACTTTTCACGATGTGTGGATTAGAGAATCCAAATTAAATTCAAACTTATGGACCCAATACTAAAGTAATTAAAGATGTAGCTGTACAATCATTCTACCCTGGAAAAAGAACAGTCCACAAAAATTAATTAAAAGCCCCAAATTACCAAGATATTCAGGCCAATGATGTGTATGTAATCCTTTGTGTCAGATACAGTAACGGTCAGTCAATAAAAGACATCTGCATAGTTTGTGCGTGTGTGTGTGTTTTTGTTGAGGTTAGATAATACATGTTATACTATCGTGTAGCTTTAGCAAGCTTTGTCACATATAAATAAAATCTTTGCCCCACATTTCGCTTGTTGGTCCCCCTAGAGTGGCCTCTTCAACACTTTTCCTCAGTGCAAAGACCGGGTTTCATTTAGCTTAAAGTGGCATAACAGCAAACTGTTGTGTAATCTATCCATCAGTGTGTAGCAAGCTCCAAAACACTAACACTATTGGTTATCTGTTTACCTACACTTTCAATCTCCATTACTACAATAATATAAAATGCGGTGGGTATAATGCTTTCACGTGTGTTTTAACCCATAAACAACACACGTTAAGCCTGGCAGTTAACTAACGTTAATAGTAACATAGCTAACTTATCCAATTAGTTTAGTTTAGCTAACTTAAGCTCCAAGAATATCTTAGTTCTCTTACCCAACGAAAGAAGGCACGACACACCGTTTTCACGTTAGAATTAAGTTTCTTCTTAAGAAAGAATGTCAGGAATCTGAATAAATACAGAGCAAACCTGCAATAAAAACAAATTTAGCGTTAGCAGGCTAAAGCTGGAGTAACACGGTGCCTGGTAACTACGCAACGTCACTTCCTGGCAACGGTCGCCCTAGGAGATCTCTGCAGTAGTTAAGAGAAGCAGTCGACTCCAGCATTTTATCGCTATGAGGGTTATCAGAGTTTGATTATTTCATAAAAACAATAACAGCGAAAATTCAGCCGCTGATTTGCTAAATCCGATTATTTCAGTCAAAGTAAGTTAAACTGATCAAAAGTAAATTTATTTTTTGGTACTGAATCTAACAATAACTATTTGTGTTATATTTGAAGGTATTTGGGATAAAATTCAGTTAACATACAGTTTACAAAATGGTTTCTTATTGAGTAATATTAGGTAAACTTAATTTATATTGTATTATTTCTTTCTCATGATTTTGAGTGATAGAAAACATGCGCATTAACAAGACAAAACTGATGCAACTGATACACTGGGACAACAGAGTATATGACATATAATATACTTGAATTTGAATCACCTTTATTCCGATTTCTATCCTTTATTTATCGTTTGTTACTCTTCCTGCCCCTTGTATTTGTTTATGCGTGTCTACTTACTAAAATATGACTTAATACAATGATGTCTCTTCATGTTTTATATTTTTCACCTTTTTTTCTTGAGGTTATAAGTTTTGTTCTTTATAGACAATAAAAATTACTTTACTTCCTGCAATCTGGCCACTCAACTTACTGTCTGTTTTATGCAGAAAACAAACAAAAAGAGAGTTGCCCTGTGTTGTGTGTTTTTATCTTTGTGCACAAATTTCTAACCTACTTAAGAAACATGTCAAGAGACAGATACTGGAGACAAACAGATGGGAGGTCATTAAGTTTCTCCTGGGGATCCATTATACGACAGTAACTGCTCCCCCTAGTGCATCTCCATTACCAAGAAGAGGATTATCTGGAGGCGCGTCCCCTGAAATCACAATTTGTCATGGTTTTACTCTTAATAACATAATTAGACCAAGAAGTGACACACACTAATGAAATGCCGATGTCCTGGGACAATAGCACTCGGGGGGATCTGTTGTATAAACCTGTGACTGGTCACTGTCATATAATTTACATGCCAATGCAGGATGGGTAGAAATGAGGATTGAATAGGGGGGGTTTCTTTATTTGTCCCATACTCAGACAATGAAGGCATAAGTAACTGCAAATTTAGTATGAAAAAGATGAAAAAAGTTAATAAATCTCTGTTTTCTTTGAAAGAAAACCATCCATTTGACTGTGACACCTGGCTAATATTGGAACTTCAGTTACGAAGAAGGACCATTTTCCACAAATAACTTTTTCATTAACCATTTTTTTTTAAACACGAATACCTGCATATCCTACAAACTGAGGGTTAGTTTCAGTGAAATGTATTTTATTCATTAAAAACAGAGTTAATTTCTTTCTGTTTCAACTGTAACTTGTTTCCAAATGAATACAGAATACATATTTGTACAATGTGATGTAAGGTTTGTTCTTTAGTCGTCTTATGTAGGACTACACCAACTAATTATTTATCATATAAATAGTAATATTGTAGCACAGATTCAACAAGGTGCTGGCAACATTCCTGAGAGATTTTGGTTCATATCCTGGAAGTATTGATCAGAAGATTACACTGAGGTCATAAAAGGATGGACATGGTCAGCAGCAATGCTCCCCACACCATTACACCACCATCAGCCTGAACTATTGACATAAGGCAGGATGGAGCCATGATTTCATGCTATTTACACCAAATTCTGACCCTACCATCCAGATGTTGCAGCAGACATCAAACTCTTCAAACTTCTTTTTTCCAATTTTGGTGAGCCTGCATGAATTGTAGTTTCCTGTTCTTAATTGACAAAAGTGGCACCCAGTGTGGTCTTCTGCTGCTGCAATCCACCTGTTTCAAAGTTCAACACATAAAAGATGCTCTTCTGCATATCTTGGTTGTCAACTTAAAGCAGTTTGATCATTCTCTTCTGGCATCAGCAACATACTTTCACTCTGAGAACTGCCACTGACTGGATAATTTCTCTTTTTCAGACCGTTCTCTGTACTTGTCTGGCACTAACAATCATGGCATAAAATCACTTTAATCCCCTTTCCTCCCCATGCTGATGCTCAGTTTGAACTTAAACAGGTCGTCCTGTCCATGTCTACTTGCCAAAATACATTGAGTTGTTGCTATGCAACTTGCTGATTAGATATTTGTATTAACAAGTGGTTAAACAGGTATACCTAATAAAGTGACCAATGAGTGGTTTGCCCGTTATGGCATTTTAGCAAGGACTCCATCTTTCATGGTAGGTTCATATGTCCACCAGGAACAAAAGGCAATGAGAAAACTGTTTAACTGTTTGAAACGAAGTAAGATCAACGTATATAACTGAGCATAATTGATATAATTGATGAGCCTTTGTTATATTAAACCATGTCAAACAATGAAAGCACAGTAAACAACTATTTTCTTATTTCAGTACAAACATTACTTCCAACTGTAGCTGCAAGTTAATCATTTATGCAGGACTCAACCAAAACCAAAGACTTTTACATACAGTAATAACACATTTTACTTCAGTTTGCAAAAGTTGACACGTGTTCATAAAGAAGGCGAGTTAGAGTGCTCCTCCATATTTCTGAACATGATTCACTGAAATGAGATCCATCTGGCAGGCTGAGGGAGCTCAAATGACCTTCGGCCTCTGAGGCAGACAAAGATTATAATACGCAGTTTGATCCCAAAAGTCAGGTCCTTTCCAGCCACACCAGCCCTGGAAATATAACAGCCACACCAAGATCAGCACAGTGTGTGGGAACCTGCTTTTCAGACTGAGAATTGCTGGCGGTGTGAATGCTTTTCCGTTACCTTGTCTGTGATAACCTGCAAGTCCTCTGCTCCAGTGTAATGAGGATCTAGGATGAGGTAGCGGATCTGCCCTGTGGTCTCACTCCAAGCCACACCCAGGATAGTGTGAGCTAAAACGCCTCCTCCTGCAACACAGAGCAAACAGCAATGTAAGTTTGAACAAGCTTTGTCTATGTTAGCTATCAACAGTACAGGCTTCTGAAAATAGTCAGCTCCCTCCTTTTCCAAATCCATAATCAATAGAGTACAATTCATATTTTTGGGCCAATTAGTAAAATTCTTAAGATGACTGTACGCACAAATCCTGGAAATGATAGCAGGCTCTGGTTTTCTTTGAGTTTTTGTGGTGATGTGACTTTAAAAAAAAATGTTTTAATGTTTATATGTGGTGTTTATAGTGAGTTTTATGTTGTCATGCACTGACAGCAAAATTCATGACAAATTTCCACTACTTTGTAATGGAAATGAAGTTTATTGATTATAATGAACTCCCTTCTTTACCAAATCCAAAATCAATAAGCTGCCAATTAAAACAAAACAAACAAAAAAATCCTGGGAATGATAGTGGGCTTCTACTTCTCTTCGGATTTTTGCGGTGAGGTAACTTTTCTATATTTGGATAATGAATTATAAAAATAAGGCTTATCATAAAAAATATCAAGAAAACAAAGTTTCTGTGAGGTCATAAAATTAATGTAACTGTAACAGTTTGAAAGTGAGCTCACCAATCATGACTGGAGTTCCTTCAGTGAGGAAGTGGTTGGCCAGTTCTCGGCCTTTGGACGCCAGCTCAGCTCCCTGACTACAGAGAAGGCAGATTAGTTGTCAGATATATTAAAATCATCCACAAACACATAATCATTCACAAGAAATGCAATCCCACCTCACAAACAGGATCTTGGAAGTGAGCCCAAGCAAATGACTCAGAACAGCCTGAACCTCAATGGATCCAATCCACTGACGTGACCCGACGAAGGATGCCTGCTTGTCTCCAACATCCACTAAAGCCTGGAAAGCAGAGAACCAGACAGCTTGGACATGTCTGATAACATTGTAAAAAAAAGAGGAAATGTGGGCATATCTTGTACTCTGATCATATTTTATAGGGCAACTACCTGCTGGATCTCCTTGTGAGTGGGCACAGGCAGCTCTACGTAACCCTGCTGCTGGAACCAAGAGCAGATAGTCTGCAGGGAGCGATAAGCACAGCCCCAGCCATTGTCATCTACACGGTCCTGCATGTAGTGGTGATAGCTGTAGATCCCCTGGACCAAATACACCTTGAGAAAAGAAAAAAAAAATCTTGCTGTGTTCATCTATTTCTGCAAATGAGCAGAATACTGTTAAGGATTTAAAATAAGTAATTAGATATACCTTTCCATTATCTAGGGTAGGGTGCGTGAGAGCCAGATGAGGGTTTCGGAGATAACCGTCTTTGTAGGGCTCATTGGGAAAGTGGTAAGCGTTGGCTCTTCTGAAGTAAGGCCTGTCATCTGGTAGCTCAAACTGCTGATGCAGCTCCTATTCAGACAAAATAAAGTTTCAAGGAAAGGTCATTCATTCTTTTTGTCCTTTCTTTAAACAAGAAAGCACAAGTTGAACTCATTGGGATTAATATGTCTATGATGATAGAAGTTCAGTCTGCGGTTCTTACTTTACTTTCCCAAAAAGTTGATTCTGTTCATCTGGACGGAGCTCTACATCCAGATGAAGTGAATCAACTTCTTGGGATTTCCTTACCTGGATGATTGAGCACATGTTAAGACACTAACCTTACGTTGTGCTACTAGCTGGCTGTCAGGCACTCCTACTGGATAAACCACAGTCACCAGTCCTTTTGGTTCTGGAAGGAGGAAGTGGACCGGTTCAGGAACAAGTAATGTCATTCCCTTCATGTTCTGAAGAGTCACTTTCTCCATTTCACACAACTGATGAGTTAGTGCCTCAATTAGCTGCTCGCAGGCACTGCAATACCAGAATAAAAAAAACCAAAAAGTAATATTACTGTAAGAGACGAGCTTTGGTTAGTGGTATGAAACCAGATGTTTTGTATAAAAGACATACTCCTTGATTGTATCGCTGCGGCCGGTGCAGACAACACAGTCTAGTGGAAGAGTCACACTCACAAAGTGGGATTTCAGAACTGTTTTGGTGAGGATGGGGGCTGAGAGGGGGCCTGGCTTTGTCACCTCCGTCATCAGACGAAGGTTTATGACACTCTGAAAGGGAATAAGAGTGAATTTATATTCACAGGTAAACGCAAACGCCATAAAGACAACTAGACATAAAAAAAACCGTTATGATGAGAGCTGAAACAATCAGCCAGTGGCATAGGTTCAAGTCGCATCTGCAGTGAACAGCAGGTTGACAAAGACAGAGCATGCCTGGCCTGTGGCAGCAGGACTGAGCCTGCTCTACTGTGTCAGCACTTTTATCATGTATTGTCACTGTGATATGGACTATTGTGACTAGACTGGATCAAAGCATCACACTGGGCTCAGGAAACAGTGCTATTTTCTCCTTTCTTTCTTTTATAAACAAAAATTGGTCAAATAATTAAAAAAAAATCACTGTCAAACTGATTATAGTCTTTAATATGGCTCCATACTATTCACAGAACACAAAATATTGCTGATTATTCGATACGTACCGCCACCGAACTTTTTTTGCTTTTCTTTTTTGATGATTTTTTCCCAGAACTCTCTTGTTCGTCTGCCCTGAAATAAAAAACAAAACAACCCCCCCACCACACACACACACACTTTTCAATATAGCCCAATAAAATACAAAGAAACAGTAATGACAATAAAAGAGGTCCAGAACAATATAGGGAAACACACAAACACACATTTAAAACTATAAACCAAAACAGAGACTAAAACAGATGAGCGCAAATCAAAGTGTCAAACACATGAATGCATTTATTCCTATAAAGTTCGTAGTATGGAGTGCATAAAATGTATTACATGACCACAGATGTCTGAAATTTTACATAATATCTGAAATTTGCTGTGGGTGGCTGCAGCTCAGGGATAGAGTCTACTCTGAAGGTATCTGGTAGTTTGAAACCTGGCTGCTTCAGTCTGCATGCCAAAGTATCCTCGGGCAAGATACTAATACTAAATGTTCTACTTTAGCTTCGCATTTTTTATTTTTTTTACCTTCATCTATTCTGCTTTAGATTTTTTTTTCATCGTGCCACTAAAAGATGCAGATCAATATGTCACTAAAGACTGTGTTCCTGTTGGTTAGTTGGTAGCAACAGTTTTAGTGTGTGGTAGTCGTCCTAAAATTTCAGACATTTTTTTTATAATTACATCCCAAATTATCTGTGGTCCACAACTCTGAACATCTCTCACTGTGCAACAAGGGACCACTGTTCATGAGCCACAATCAAAGATATTGTCTCAATTCTTGCATGTCAGTCAGCCTTCTTCTTACAAAATCTGATGAAGAATCTATTCAAGAGAGAAATAATGCACTGTAATAATGTCTGTACTTACTGTATCCATTGATGCATATCTTCACATAGTGTACTTGGAGTTATTTCTTCAGGTGTGGCATAAGCATCTTTGTTTGGCCATATAATAACAGGACTGTCGCTCACTGCCAGAACACAGGATTCAGATTTCACCTGGGAGCGAAGAGTCTCAAACGTTCTCGAGATGACATTTCGCACCAGCTGCTCTGTAAGAAGAAAATAGCGTTTCTCTTTAACATTCCTACAGCGTTAGGGTAATAGATTTGTATGGCTTGAGTTCTGGAATTTGCATTTGACCAGTTACTGCCACTCTGTTATAGAATTTACTGTTTCTAGTACACTAAACGGCTACACATGTATACATTTTACTTTAGTTAACTAAATATCTTCTAAATGAGGACATCCAAAGTAATGTTTGGGGGTTTTGTCTTAGAAGGCCATCATTACATCAAGCATGTATATTGAAATTATATTCCTGGTAATGTGGGTAAAGTTTGAAATAGCATTTAGTCTGACTCAATTATAGCAGGAAAAATGAATAGAAAAACTGCATTTTCTATAATCCACACGGGATCAAATATATAGATAGACCCCCACTAATATTTGGTTAAGTGTCACTTAGTGAGTTTCATCGTGGTACCCAACAACAAAATTCTGGCATAATTCTGTCTAGATATTTGACCACTCTTCTTGGCAGAATTGGTAGAGTTCATTTAAACTGGTTGGTTTCCTGGCACGGACGCAGATTTAAAGCATAATCCACAAATTTTCAATAGTCCTTCAGTTGAGCTTGAAGGTACCGATTTTGGAGCAAGGGCTTCTTTCTCAGTCTAAGCTGATGTAAAACTCTCTTCATTGTGGACAGTGACGCTAGTGTTCCAGCAGTTTCTAGTTCATAGGAAGTTTGAGCTTTGGTCGTTCCTGGGTTGTTCCTGAGCATCCTAACCAATTTCCTCTAATCTAAGGGTGATAGTTTGAGTCTTCTACCAGACCATGACAAAGTGGCGACATATGTAAATAACATGTAATTATGTACAGTTGTTTGAAGTGATGATTATGGAATCTGCAGTTGTTTAGAAGTGGCTCCATGAGACCTTCTCAGCTTGTGTAAATCTGTAATTCTCATTCTTAGATTTTCATGGAGCTCCTTTGACTTTCACAACTACAAAAAGAAACTACAATTTATTAATCAATCATGATCTCAAATGAGAAGGTAACAGGTTTTAGCCCCGTCAAGTTAAAATACATTTTAGAACCTTAATCTCCATTTATTTAAAAAAAAAAAAAAATGAAATGAGTGTATTTATTTATTTGAACTTCACACAGGGTTTGACTCTGTGTTTAGTAGGAAAAAAAACCCCAAATAAATATGCGCACACACACAATTATTATTATTTTTAAGTCTTAAAAATGTGTGCTGTGCTCGGAAGACAGCACTTCCAAGAAATCATTAAAAGCCCCAAAATATCATGACATTCATGCGCGAGCTGAATGGATGCAAACCACTTACCACGACTGTGGATGTTTTAACTTTACGTGTGTGTACATTTAGACATATTGTTAAAAATCGTTTCTGAACACACCATCTGTGCTGTCCAGCTGACATCTGAACTCCAGCAGACCTTTGACACGAAGAACGGTCGCAGTCTCGGAGTCAACAACGACCTGATAGCACACAAAACGACAGAAGTCAGCGGCTGGTTGGGGAAATCATCTGACAACGATTGTAATTACTCTTTTAGCGTTACTGGCTAACTGCTAAGCCACGAACTGAAGAACCCACAAGATAGACTTACTCGTGGGTCTGAACACAGAGGAACACAGACACGACCTCGTTTCGATAACTTAATTTCAGCAACCTTACCATTTTGGAGTTCTCAGCCTAGCAAAGGAACTACACTGTTTATTGTCAGTTGTTTCTAAGCACTGGGGGCTGACATGTCTACTAAAGCAAAAGTTCAACGTGTCTCTGGTTGGGGCTTTCTATTGGGCCACACTGGCTCCGCCCATTTATGGTGCATTTATAGTAACTCGTAAGTTCGGGAACGTTTTCTAGATAGTTTGTCATACACGTCTTCACAATATTTCGTTTTCTTTTATCAGTTTTTTTCCCTTTTAAATTTAAAACGCCTATAAATGTATTGTATATTACCACCTATATCCTCCCGAGAACCGAGGAAAAGTGCATCTTCTAGTTGAACTTTTGTTGTGAAATGTGAATCCCCTGAGATTCACATTTACTGCATGGATTTTTGTAGTTCATCAGATAAGCAATCATATACTCAATAGTTTACAAAAAAAATAATAATTAAAAAACCAACACCCAACATTAGTCTATCTACATCTGGGGTAAAATTAGCCAATAAGTAAATAAAGGCACTTATAATCCTCCTCAGTCCTCCCTTAGAGAACGCTAAATCTTGTGCTTAGTCTCTAATGCACACTTTACTCAATCTAATTAGTCTTGCTTCACTGCCCATGTTCCCCTTCTTATGCAACATTTGACACAATGTGTCAATATTCTTCTTCTTATTAATTTTGTTGAGATATTTATTTTGTATGGGTGTGTGTGACTGTGTGTGTGTGTGTGTGTGTGCAGGGGAGGAGGGTATTAAAAACAACAATAAGTGTTTTGTAACACTGTAAGTGCTCACAGTCAGACACACACAAAAAAAGGTTAAAATGTGTTTCTTGGTGCATTGCCAGTTTATCTCAGGATATTCATAAGAGCTATGTGAGTTAAGCCAGAAGTGTAAGTGTAGACAAGGCTTTTGATATTTTAAGTTGCTGTTATGCAGGCTTAAGTCATAAATTGTTCCAAACATCACTTCCAAAGCTCTTCTAGTCAAAGGCAAATAAATTAAATCAGCATCAAGGCTCGGCTTGCAGATAAATCAGATTTACACCCTCTGATTTATAAAATATAAAGGACAACTCTTCAGCCTAAGAATTATAAATTACAAGAATATCTGTAAAAAGGAGGATCTACTGAAAAAATATTCCCATTACAGACCTTTTCCACCCCATTTTAAATTGTATTAGCTATTCTTAGCTGCTATGTCAAAGTCAAATAGCACAAATACCACATGCCAGGAAGTGGGGTTGAAAATGAGGACAGTTTCAGGTCACTGATGTTTTGTCCTAACAATGCCTCTGGATAAAATCAAGTTTGTTAGGATTACTGGAAAACAGAGATGAAATGGTTCCTCTTGTACACGCATGCAAAGTCAGTTGTCTAAATCTAACAGAGTGTCAGATAAAATAAAATAAACACACCTAACAGGTGCAGTGTAGGGAAAAGGTATTTGCCCCCTAACTTATTTCAATTTCACTAGCAACACTCACGTTACTTTGGTTACTGTTGACTAAAGAAATTACTTAGTTAGAGCCTGTCTGACGGAGTGAAGTCGACTAATAGATCTCTAAAGGCAGCACATCATGACAGAAACAGCTGAGAAGCAAAATCAGTCACATCTATTGGTCTGGGAAGACTTTCAAAGCCATTGTAACTCTTTGGGATTCCAGTGAACTTATGGTGAGAGCTGAAAACTCTGCTGACCAAAAGAAACACAAAGGCTCGACTCACATTTGCCAAAAAACAATATTTTCAGGATCCCCAAGACATTTTGGAAAACAGTCTGTGCACTGACGAGACAGAGGCTGAACTTTTTGGAAGGTTTGAGTTACATGTGCATAAAATTAATAGCATTTCATAAAACGAACATCACACCGACAGTCAAACATGGTGCTGGACCTTAAACAGGCCATTTATGCTTGAAAACCTTCCAGTGTGGTCAAAATAAAACAATTCTGCAAAGAAGAGAGAAAGTAATGACTTTTTTCCACACAGAGCCAGGTAGGTTTGGATAACTTTTTTCTCTAAATGAACAAAGCATTTTGCATTTTGTAAATGTTATCTTTGTCTAATATTAAGATTTCTTTTATCTAAAACATTTATAGAATATTCAATATTTCTTCAATATATACACTAAAGTGCTGGAACACAACATTACCACAGTATTGTACTCCAAGTATCTACATTATTAAACAATTCTTTGTGCCTCAATGTGGCAATCTGCTCCAGGATGTTCCCTCTTATCAAACTGAGTCCGGCAGCAGCAGCATGCATTGTAACAGTGTGAAGTCATGACTCTTGAGTTCCCGTGGACTTAGTGTGCTGAGGAAGATTTGTGATGAGATTAACTATCTCCCTTTGTATCATAAACAGAGCATTAAGATCTTTTCAGTTATATGCTATAAATATTAGAGTGTGAGCGAGGAATGATTATATGGCAAGAACTCACATTACAAATGCACATTCATCATATGTCCATAGGCAGAGTTTATCTTTGGAGCCTTTTATTTATGTGAAAAGTGGCAGATGTGCTGGGATGTAAAAAACAAAACAAAAAACCCCAACTTCAATATATATAAAGAATTTTTGTGCAGCTGTGATGAAACATATAACTATTTTCAGGGTAGCCCATTTTGGCTTTCTAATGAGAGTTATATAAAAGCATTTCAGTATCAGCAGTGTGATTATTTTCTTGCTCCTTTTGCCGAGTGGCTGGTGATTGTAGACAAGCCATGAAGGTTCAAAGCTACATTTTTACAAAATAGAAGCGCAAATCTGTCTTGCACACCTATGTGAGCAACGACAGAGTGGAAAATTGATGTTATATGATAAAAAAACAAAACAAAACAATTGTAAAACATCCACTAGCTTCAGATTAATGTTGGAATCACTTGTACCAAATAGCCACTGAACGTAGATTAGGGAGGTTTTAATGACCACTTTGAACAAGAGGAATGATTACCGCAAGAATCTCATGTTTCAGTGCTTCTATGAGAACTTGGTAGTTATTTTAAGGCCCACTTTAAAAAAAATCCTTTAAGTAATCTTAAAGCCTCACAAGATACTTTTTTTCAAGTAATGTCAAGAAGAGAAACATCTGGATCATGTTATGCTCAGAGGTCTCACAGATGAAAGAAGTAGCTTTTGGCATCTGTGTGCTGTCTCAGAGCTGAAAGATTAATCTAGTTCATGAAAATCTTCTAATTTGTCTATATCAGGCAATGTAAGCAGTATACAGTAAATACTTTATGTAACTATAATTACATTTTCCTGCCTGCCTTTAGATTATCCAGCCATTAAAGCCACTATTTGAGTTTCTTTCCCAAATGCCATCAGATAATGTCAGAAATAATTTGAGCATTGCAGTTTCACTCTGCTCTCAAACATTTGTCACCTGCATGGAACTAAAGTCCAAACAGTTATAAAGAATATTATATCTTATTGGCTTTCCTACAAATGTTAGGGAATGCCAGGGGTAATTAAAAACAACAAGTAGAAGAGAGCATTGCATGAAAACCTCCTTTTGCTGCAGGATATCAAATGAGCTTAGCTTCACTTGATTGGTCTCCTATTGAGGCATGAGGTCTGCACACTGGTCCTAGTCATTCCTCAACACTAAGAGGCTCACCACAGGGCACCATCTGAGGGACGAATAGAGGCAGGCAACAGACGAGGAAAAGGAAAGCATACTTTTCTGTTCCTTATGCTGCATTAAAAAAAAAAGTACATATATATAAATAATTTAATCACAAATATTATATTTATGGATTTCCACTTCATGCTGTGTCCCAGAAATTATGATATTTGTTTAACTTGTCAACATAATGAGGCCAATAATAAAATAAAACACAATTTATCAGTAGAATATTCCAGTATATTAGCTTATTCATTCAGTCACATAAATGGATTTCCCTTTACAGATTTCTCTATATTTATGCTTTGCCTGAATGTACTTGGATCAGCTGGATGTTATGTTTATGTCTCCAAACATGGCTGTTCCCAAAAAGGATGCTGCAGAGTGCCCTCTTGTGGACAAACTGTGTAGCATCAACTCTTATAATATGGTTGAAGGGTGTTTCTCCCATCTCTTCTTTACTCTTTAGAATTTTTCATTTATTCCCTGTTATAAATTATACTGATACATGAGCAAATAGCTAATATCTGGTGTAAATACTGGCTTACCAATAATCAGCTGGGCTTCAATATGCAGTAAGGCTGAAATGTAATTATGCTGCCTAATGGCTTTCACATTTGCTGCTATTACAGTTTGCTGATAAAATGTTTCTTATTTCCACTTCTATGACTTCAGGCTTTAACGGTGTAGCCATAGATGGAAATATTGGAGGATTTCATGCACGGAAACCAGATTCCACAGAATGGAGGAGCTGGACTTTCTTCCCTCTTTTTCCAACCTCTTCTAGGTATTTTATTTTATTCTATTAACTGATATCCTAATGACATCATAGAGCTCTGCATGAGCTCTCTCTCCACCTTCCTCAAATTTCTAGCACAGACAACCAGAAGTAGCTGTGAGATCAATCTCGGTTCAGTCCTGTGATCATTGAGAGGATGAATGAGATGTTGAAGATATCATGTCATCTCTTATTAGCACCTCTTCTTTCTCTGAATTTGGATCCTTAATCATAACAACTGCACTTAGACGGAGAACCATTTTCCACTTTCCCCTGTCGCCAAGGTGTTACTTGAGAACAAACAGAGCGAGAAACAGACCTGCCTGCTGTGTCAGTCAGCACTTCTCATTTTATCTGAAAGATGTGTTGAAACCTGGTGGTTACTCCCTCAGTGCAAACATGGCTCCTCTGAAAGAACACACTGATAAGACACAGAGTAAAACAAAGCCGAAATTAACACTGAAACTTTTCAGCCAGTCATGACAAAGATGTTTGTTCATGCCAGCGCAGCTGGTGCTCTCTCCACTGGGTCCTGGTGAGAGGCAGCAGCAGCTGTTACCTCTGAGGTAGCAGATGGGTCACTAAGACCTGGGGAAAAAGATCTGCTTCAAGATGTTGCCCTCCAACCCCATATCAGTGCTCCGAGAGGCAAATGCAAACGAGCAAGTCACTGGCTGGATAGCTGTGATAGAGGCTATATTAT